ATTAAACTGAAATAAAATTTAAAAATCTGTTAACTTTTTTGTTTTTTCAGGGGCCCTAATCCTCTGCCGTAGGATGCAGCTTTTTTTTTCAGCCAGACCTTTTTTTTTTTCTTGCATTTTAAACACGATCTGTCAGAAACGTGAAGCTTCCTGACCAGAATGAGCTCTTCTTCCATGTTTTCCAACGTTGACTTTAAACAAAGTTCTGGTTCTTTCTGAGAATGATGGAACATCACGTCTCTAAAACAAAAACATTTATAAAATATTAGGACGTTTTGAAAACCTTTCATGCACCATTTAGGCCCAGATTATAATTCTTCCTCCACCGTGTTTCATTCTATTTATGAATCTTGTTTATCGAGTCAATCTCTTGTGGCGCCGGTGTGCGGCAGCCTGGCTTCTGTCAGTGAGCCGCAGGGCAGCGGTGGCTCTGATGTAGCTCACCATCATCAGTGTGTGAGTGAAGGAGTGAATGTTGAGTTACTCCCTTTGGTCGGTTCTCCCATCTTGATGATGAGCGATCCAAGGAAGCTAACAGTTGGTGGATCTCTCTCTGTCTCCAGCTGATGTCTCCTGACATCTTCTCTGTAGTTTGATCCTAATAGAAGTTTAAAGATCAGATCTTAATAAATCCTTTGATCTGAACGTTAACCAATCAACTACTTTCACTTTTGCTGTTAAAGATTCTCAGTCATCCAGGTCATAGTCGTTCCAAAAAATTTTAAATCAATCCACTGGACTTTATTTCCAGGTTTGAAGACGTTTCTCTTCCATCCAGGAAGATTTTTCTATTCAAAATGTCAGAAATAGCGTTTAGTTCCAGGTTTTATCCAGCAGACCAACAAAGCCTGGTTTCTGTTTAGAAAACATGCAGATAGAATCGGATGATGGGTCCACCCCTTTGGAACGGGGGTCGTTTGGCTTCTTTGTTAGCTTGTGATTCTCCAAACACAGAATCCCAGAATATTTCAAACCAAACAGACCTTTAAACAGAGACTAGTTCATCCTAAAGACCAAACCTCCAGACCTAATCTGACTCAGATTTCAGCTTTCAAAATCCTGCAATGCAGCGATAGAGTTGATTCCTTCCCGCCATCATGGCAGCCCCACCAACCTTTACAGGGGAACAGAAGACCTCTCCTATTCACCCACGCCAACTATTCTCTCTAACGACCCCCATTCAGAGACATAGACAGGTATGGGACATTGCAGGCTAACAAAGAGGCCAAGCGGCCTGTGGAAGCATATTTTACCATGGCCTTTTTCTGAGATAAAATATTTATCCTTTGTCTAAATAGGGGTGATTGCTTAGAAGTCTGGTACCAGTCTGTATGCTGGAGTTAAGATTGGGGAAAACAGAAAGCAGGTGCCTCCCGACTCTAGACAAGGATTAATGGAGGGAAATGAGAGATGAGAATGAGGAGACCTGCTCTGAGTGTTTATCTGGCTAAAATTTATGTCCTTGATTAATTGAAGTGTTTTTTCTTGGGAATAACCGAATGTTCAAGTGTGAGAAAGTTCTTTATGTAGCGGTGGGATAGTTCCAAGGGAGAGTGTGTCTATGGGGAATTACCCAGTCAGAGCTCTATCTCCATCTGAGGACGATAAATAAAACTGAACCTTTTTTTCTTGCAAGAAATATCTCTGTCTCATCTTCTAACTCCACAGACCCCATTCCAAAGGGGGGGACCCGTTCATCCGTCTCAATCTGCATGTTTTCTAAACTAAAACCAGGCTTTGTTGGTCTGCTGGATAAAACCTGGAACTAAACGCTATTTCTGACATTTTGAATTGAAAAATCTCCCTGGATGGAAGAGAAACGTCTTCAAACTTTGAAACAAAGTCTTTTCTACCTTTTTTGGAATCACTCTCACCTTGCATCAGCTCATGAAAATCTTTTGATTTAATGTTAATCCTGATATTTATTGTTAACACAGCGTCTTTATTTCTGCGCCCTGATGGCGTCTGCTTCTTGTCTCCCTGCAGGTGATCCTAAAACCTGGCAGAACAAATCTCTCCCCGGAGACCCAAACTACCTGGTGGGTGCAAACTGCGTGTCTGTGCTCATTGACCACTTCTGAAGAGGGCGACAGCTGGCCTGTTAACGAATGTGATAAACGCCCCCCCCCACTTAGTTTACTGTGCCCAGAACTTTATCAAGTAGAGAAACAGTCTTTCTCACTATGAAGCGAGTCGGAGGAGTCCAGCATCTGGACCTTTTCTCATTTCTTTCTTTATTTTCTTTTGTTTTCGGTGCTTTCAAGGCTTGCAAAAAAAAAAAAGAACAAATAAGAGAAAAGTTATTTAATCTAAGGAAGAGAAGTTGGAATGCATGACCAGTGCTACAGGACTGGATTATCTCATTTTGACATTTTTAGCTCACTTTTTTAAAAGGTTTCAGTGGTGCAAAAAAAAAAAAGGAGAATTTTGGAACCTTATTTAATATCGCAGCAAGATTTTTGTGTACTGTGTAAAGAGAAAACAAAATCCACACAAACATGAAATTTGTATAAGCAGAGCCTTTGTTTGCGAGCTAAGTGGTCATGCGTTTCACTCATGGAGGATCTCCCAGGACTTCCCTTCACCAAGGAAGACGTTATGAAAAAACTACGAAGAATGAAAGTATTAAGTAGCATCAGAAGCCCGTTCCTTTGGGCCGTTTTTGTTTGTTTTTTTGTAGAAAAAAAAAAGAAGGAAATGTTTTAACATAGATAAATATACTGACTTGATTTTACAAACTCCTGCTGTCTAGAGATCTATGCATGTGCTACGACTCAGGTCCAGACGCCTGCTAACTAAGTTCAACATGAAAACCCCATCGTACACTGCAAGCAGTGATGCCTTATCTGCATATTTAACTTTTCAGTAAAAAAAAACAAAACAAAAAAAACCTTCCAACATGGGATCCTTGAGTTATAACGATTATCTGCAGGAGGAGAAAAAAAAAGAAAGATATTCTTGCATTTCTTTTTTCATCAAACACGGAACTCGGATTTAGCACACGGAATAATTGGGGCTGATGAAAAAACGGTTTGCTTTCCTTTACTGCTATGCATATGAAGTGTGAGGAAAATACACAACGCTAGAAGATGTTTAAACGTGGCTGTACATACCTGCTAGCATATGGCCTTGGTTCTCTGTAAATGACCTTTTGTACATCTTTGTTATTTTGTATAAAAGAGAAAACGGTTTGTTTAAAAAAGAGGAAGCGGTTAAATTGGTTATGTTTGTATTCCGGTTAAACCCCTGAGCCTTGGAACTGACATAAGCAGTAATAAGTCCAACCTTTTTCTACCAACATATACACACAGACAGATACGTTACTTAAAGGCATTTTTAACTGTCAGAAAACTTTTTATTCTTATTTACAAACTAGAGAAGTGCTTGGTTTAACTGATTTTAAAAAGATGTACTTAAGGGGGGCCGCTTTGAACAGCGGCCCCTTCCTTTATTTGTGATACTGGATGCGGTATTGTGTGCCCTGAAATGTATTTTTGTACTAATAGACGATTTATTATGGCACATCGGTACTATTTTTTTCTTTTGATATGATACCACAGACGCTTCAAACCAACACTAGTTTTATTTTCCCGTGTGGCCGACATACTTTTTATTTATTTTCATTTTATTTCTGTTCTGTTCTTTTTTTTTTTCTTTGCAACACATTTTTAAGTATACCACTGTATTACTAAATAAATCCATTTATAAAGTAAAGGTTTGTTTTCTGCTGTCGTGTTTTTTTCTGCAAATCTATTACTGCATGTTAGAAACAGGGGCGGATTTAGGAAATGTGGGGCCCTAGGCAAAGACAGGCAGGGGCCCCTCTGAATGGAGAAGACATAGAACAGCCCCATTCTCCAGATAGAGA